GGATGCTCCAGGGGGAAAGCAAGACCCCAGTGCAGGTCAGGCCCTAGGAGATGCTTCAGCTCCATTAGAGAAACCCACTTTTCAACCTAGCAAATTCAACGTCTGCTCCAAGAGATTCAATGACTTAAATAAACCTCATAAAAAGGCATTTTCTTTATGTGACCACGCCAGAAGGATCTCGCCTTGACTCCAAATCAGAAGCGATTCCTCTGCCTCAGAAATCCCCCGTCCAAAATTTTCCCTGAAATCTGAGATCTCTCCTAGGATACTACTTTACTATCCAAGCAACTTCCTCATCAGAGTAGAAATACCACCGCTCCTCAACAGGTTCAGTGCCGGGCAGGGACGCTGGCTCTGCCAGCGCTCCCGGGGGTGGCTCGGGACAAGCCGGGGAACACCCCGGGTGACACCCAGGAGTGCCCTCGGACCGGGAAGAGAGCCGAGGTGTCCCAGCCAGCCGCGATTCCAGCAGTGCCTCAAGCAGCTGACGCTGCAAACGCCGGCGAGCCGAGCGCTGCGAACAGGTCCTGCCTCTTCACGTGCCCGTTTGCACCGCGCTCCGGCAAGGCACCGGCACCTCCGCCTCGAGGCATTCCTACGGAGATGAGGCGAGGAAGCCCGAGGAATACGAAAAGCCAACACCTGCGTCAGCCAAAAGCCCGTGGAAAAGGGATGCTGCAGCAAGAGGGCCTGCCCGCCCCGATCCGACACAGCTGTGCCTGTGAGCGGAGGGCACAAACCCCACTGAGACCATCGCGGCAGCATTCCAGCTCCTGGACCAGCTCCTCGCTGAGCCGGAGTCTCCGGCCACCTCCGACAGCTTCCAAGCTGAGCCACAACCACGCTCACATTATAAATCCCCCCGAGGAGGGTCCAGCCCCACGTCGGCCAGCAGCGGTTTGAGACCCCGCGCACCATCTCCCTGCAACCACACACTTCTCGCTGCCCACCAGCGAGGGGCTGCACCACGTCCCCTGCCACAGCCACCGCTCAAGCGCTGGGCAAGCCCTGCCGCGACCCTGTGCTGTACCAGGAAAAAAAGGTGGCAATGACAAAATAGAGAGAAAAAAAATAAAATAAGCGATACTTGTCCTACCAGGCCTGAGACTCTACCGGAGCCTGGGTCTCAGCTGTGAGCCTTCCCGGTGCCCAGTAAATCCCACGACCAGGCGGGAGACAGCGAAAAGACCGCAGCCCACCGGAACGGGGGCGGGCACGCACCTGCCCTGTATCTCCACGGACGGGCAAGCATCCCCCGGCTCAGTTC